TTACACGGAATTTTTCACCCTAAAAATGTAGACATTTTTAAAATTTGGGCTGGGCCATGGCCAAGGATGGCCACCCCCTGTCTACGTCCCTGTGGGGTACGATGTCTATAGTGACGCAAGCATCCAAGGGTTTGGGTGTGTGTTGATGCAGGAGGGGAGAGTAATTGCCTATGCTTCACGACAGTTGAAGAAGCATGAGGTAAATTACCCTACCCATGATCTGGAGCTGGGAGCAGTAGTGTTTGCACTGAAGATTTGGAGACATTATCTCTACGGAGAGACATGTCACATATATACTGATCATAAGAGCTTGAAGTACGTGTTTACTCAGAAAGAGTTAAACATGAGACAGAGACGGTTGATGGAGTTTATAAAGGACTACCATCTAGTTATTGAGTACCACCCAGGTAAGGCAAATGTTGTAGCAGATGCCCTCAGTCGGAAGAGTTCGTCTGGGGCATTGTTGACTAGTTTGAGGGCATTGAGGGCCCAATTGGATGTATCTAGCGATGGTGCCTTATTGGCACGATTTGAGGTGAGACCGACCCTACTTGAGGGGATCAAGAAGGGTCAAGAGACTGACGCAGAACTTATGAAGGTCCGGGAACGCATGCAAGCGGGACCAGTGGAGGATTTCAGGGAAAGAGATGATGGTCTCTTGTTATTTCGTGACCGAGTGTGTGTACCGTCAGATGACGAGCTCCGAAAGTCCATCTTAGAGGAGGCTCATTCATCGTCTTATGCCATGCACCCGGGGGGCACGAAAATGTACCGTGATTTGAAAGAAAGTTACTGGTGGTCTGGAATGAAGAGGGAAATAGCCGAATACATCAGTTGATGCCTTACTTGTCAACAAGTTAAGGCAGAACATCAGCATCCAGCAGGCTTATTGCAACCACTTTCCATTCCTGAATGGAAGTGGGAACACGTGACTATGGATTTTGTGGTAGGTTTACCACGGACAATCAGGAACTATGATGCAGTTTGGGTTGTTGTAGATAGGCTCACGAAGAGTGCACACTTCTTACCTATCAACACTACTTACCCACTTGAGAGGTTAGCCAAATTGTACACGGATGAGATCGTGAGGTTACATGGGGTTCCAGTGACCATTGTATCCGATAGAGACCCACGATTCACATCACGTTTTTGGCCGAAATTTCAGGAGTCTATGGGAACGAGGTTGAAGTTCAGTACTGCCTTCCACCCATAGACGGATGGGCAGTCTGAAAGAGTCATACAGATCTTAGAAGACATGCTGAGGGCTTGTGCGTTGGAGTTCCAAGGAAGTTGGGACAACCACTTAGCACTTGTGGAATTTGCCTATAACAACAGTTATCAGGCAAGCATCAGTATGCCTCCATACGAGGCATTGTACGGTAGGAGGTGCCGTACACCGTTATGCTGGGACGAGGTTGGCGTGGCCAAACTCGAGGGTACTGAGTTGGTTGAGGTCAACAAATCAAAGGTGAAGTTGATTCGAGAGAGACTCAAAGCGGCTCAGGATAGACAAAAGAGTTATGCAGATAAGCGTCGGAGAACCTTAGAGTTTAAGGTTGATGACGAGGTATTCTTGAAAGTTTCTCCTTGGAAAGGAATCATTCGATTCCAAACCCGAGGAAAACTTAACCCACGATATATAGGTCCATTCAGAATTATAGAGAGGATTGGGCCCGTAGCATATCGTCTACAGCTGACTCCGGAGTTAGAAAAGATACATAATGTGTTTCATGTATCCATGCTTAAGAAGTTTTTTTTTTTTTTATAGACCCGGTAGGTAAACCACCTAAGTCGGTGGGGTAAATGCCGGGGAACATTTACTGAGTTTTATTGAGAATCAATTTAAAAGTACATAGAAAGGGGGACTAGACCAAAACCTTTCCAGAGAGGCATACCTCCCAAAAAGACATCAGAAAGCTAAAAAACAAAGACATCAATTGGGGGGACCAAACCTTACCCAACTGATACAACAAACTTTAAACTAGCCATCTAAAAGAAAAATAAAACAAATCGAATTTTCAGTACATAATTCGAAATGAAGGAAAACCAAATAAATCCGCATAATATGCCTTTTGGGCCAGATCCAGAAGTTGAAGAACCTGAGTAAAAAAGCCATAATGGACCGACGGTTGGGCCGCCAGATGGTGTCCAGCCCAGTTGCATTCCCTAACACATTGAGAGAAACCCACCCCTTTCCTATTTGCTCTGTGTAAAGTTTCCTGAAAGCTTTTCTTCCAACGACCAGCTCCTCCGTCCTCGATATACCTGAGCGCCACAACAGCATCCATTTCAATCACGAAATCGGAGAAGCCTTCGGAAATCGCTAGATCAATTGCATACATGGCAGCGGTGAGCTCGGCTTCTAAAGGAGAAGAAACCGCAAGAGGAAATGAAGAGGCAAAGACTAAGATTCCTTCAGAATTTCTCATAATCGCACCACCTGAGGCAGCCCCTGGTAAGAAGCTAGCATCAGTATTACGTTTGAAATTCCTTTTAGGTCTCTTCCATTTTACTGCCTTGAAGAAAACCCCTTTAAGCTTGAAATTAACAGGAATCAACTTCTCTTCAAACAGGAGATTTCCAATAGATCGAATTTTCAATTTAGGGAAGCTGATAACCCAGGTCTGAGTGTAATGTTTGATTTGTGAAATAATAGAATCAGAACTTGGGCTCTTGCTCTCCAAACCCCAGACAATACTGGAATAAATTTTCCATAAGTGCCAACAAATGATACCTGGTAGATTGTGTTTAAAAATAGGGAAAACTGTCAAATAGGTCCCCGAACTTTCATAAAAAAGTCAATTAAGTCCTTCTATAGGAGACTCTGTCCGGTCGTCGCAATTTGGGGCGGTTCCTGGTGGAATTTTTCAATGAATTTTTTTGAGCATCTTATTCATCAAGTCTAGTTTATTCATACCAAATTTCAGCTACAAATTTAATCGGGAACGCATTCAAATTAATTCGAGAACGCAAAAATGCGCAGTTATCTTCAAGAATTAATTTGAATGTGTTCCCAATTGAATTTTTAGCGGAAATTTGGTATGAGTTTAACTAGACTTGGTGAATAAGATGCTCAAGAAATTTCATCAAAAATTCCACCGGGAACTGCCCCAAATCGCGACGGCCGGATAGAACCTCCTATAGAAGGACTTAATTGACCTTTTTATTAAAGTTCGAGGACCTATTTGACAGTTTTCCCTTAAAAATATCTATCAGTTTGGTACTCCCAGCTTTGAACCACCAAGCCATAAAAATGTTTTTAATATTGCTATCCTGACTGGGAATAGGGATGCCAAAAATACTCATGAAATAGTACCAAACTGGTAGGGCCACCTTACACCCATAGAAAAGATGATCAACAAAATCTTCACTTTGCATGCACATTGGGCAGATTGAGGGGTTAATTGTGACCTGAAACCTCTGCAAATTGTCTGTCACAGGTAAAATTTTCTTCAGTATTTTCCATTGGAGAAGTTTAATTTTCAGGGGCTGTCTAGCATGCCAGGCATGCTGAAAAGAAAATGTGGATGCATGTGCTGACCTCACCATATTGAAGGCTGATTTGAAAGTAAATTCTCCATCCTCATTCAACCAATTTATACTGCTATCAGCATTAACTTCACAAAGATTATTAGCTGTGCCTGTATCACTTATTGCACAAATTCTTCTCCAAACTGGAGAATCACTGATCTTGGGAACCAAATTTACAGACTGGCCCGAAGCAGCCTGATAAGAATTAAGGAATTTCTTGAAATTAAGCAAAGATCTAGAATCGCCATTTAGGAAAATAAGCAGGTCATCAGCAAAGCCCAAGTGAGACACTGGGTAGCCCACCTTACCCATCCAATAAGGCTTGATAAAACCTTGATCAATATTCCATTTGAGACCCCTAGAAAAAGCCTCAGAGGCAATGATAAACAGGAAAGGAGACAATGGGTCCCATTGCTTGACTCCTCTCTTAGGTTGAAAAAAACCTTGTGGCACACCATTAACCAGAATCGAAAGATGAGTAGATTTAAGATTATTGATGATCAAGTTAATAAGATTGATAGAAAAACCAAAACTGGATAGGATTTGAGAAAGAAAGTCCCAGGAGAGCCTATCAAAAGCTTTAGCCATATCAAGCTTAACCATTACATTAGAGCCCCTTATCTTTTTTTTTTTTTTTAAACAAACCGATCGGACATTTTTTTTATTAAATCAGAGACATATTAAGAAGTTACAATGGACGGATGATCCTGGTATGCCAAAGGAGATTACAACAAAAGAGATAAAGGTGAGTTTTAGTCCAAAACAATGTAACCGGTATAGTGGGCCTCTTGTGGGGTCAAGGTTCATTTCGCCTATGCTGTTAACATGGCCCAGCGACAGCTTCCGTCCAAGGCTGTGTTGTCCAGGGTAAGTGTTCTCCAGAACCCTATATCGTCGAGTAGCCTAACTTATCTCCGTTGTTGAGCGAGACCATATGCGCGTGAGGCTACCCTGCATCACGGAAGAAGATCGTACGGTGAAGATCGGCCTCGTAAGCCTTTTGTACCCCCTGCGGTAGGTTCGCCAATGTGTAGTGGTGTGTTATCGTTGATCGCAGCCCTTCTTGCGCTAGATTATGAGCGGTTTGATTTTGTTCTCTGTAGATGTGTACGAACGAGGCTTGAAGGTTGTGGCGGAGGATCTTGATTCGTCTGACTTCATTATCGAGTTGAGAAGGTATTTTCATTCGTCCTTGTGTAATTTTGAATAAAATTTCAGAATCTGTTTGAATTTCGATGTTCTTATACCCCTTGCTTGATGCTAATGACATGGATTTTTCTGCTGCCATTGTCTCTGCTTGGAGCGGTGTTCGTGCTCTGATCGGAAATGAGAATGCCTCCAGTAGGAGGTGTCACGCCCCGGACCTAACCGGACACGTCAACAATCCGCCGTACAGTACGAATAGTCAACCGCAGTCCAACACATCCATACTATACAAGGCGTCTGGAATATCATTCACACATAGTACATCCATAAACAACATAATGTAAAATAATCATTTAAAGCAGCGGAAATGTTCAATACAAATGTGCACGCCACACTTTGGCATCATGGGCATACAAGCCCTAAATACATATTAAGGAAAATTAATATCCATGAGCATGGTTTAAATCGTTTTCAAAACAGAAACAGAAGAAGCACGAACCACGTCTTCTTCTCTTAAATTCTCCGATGCAACGGGCGGTAGCGGCAAGCTTTAATCCCGACCTGAAACTGTGAGGTGGCCTCCCCCGTGAAGGGGAGGTCAGTACTTGGAAGCATTTGACAAGTACAATGACAACTATACTAAGTATAATCAAAGTTTCAATTTCCAAGACCCTCAACTTAGGATGTTACTATTTGAAATTAAATTTATGTTCCTTCATGCTAGAGCTCGGCTCATAGTCATATTAATTTGTGCTAGAGCTCGGCTCATAGTCACACCACATTTCGCTAGAGCTCGGCTCATAGTCATTCCTACATTTTTGTGCTAGAGCTCGGCTCATAGTCACACTACATTTTGCTAGAGCTCGGCTCATAGTCATTCCTACATTTTTGCTAGAGCTCGGCTCATAGTCATACTACCACGTGCTAGAGCTCGGCTCGTAGTCACGTCATCTAATCCCTAAACCACTTCTTAGTCTAGGCTCCATTCCTTTTGAGTAACCCTTGAGGTCTACTCCTAACATAACTTGACTTTGTAAAGTCCACCCTAATTATCCTTTAAGGTTACTTAGCTTCAATATCTTGGGATTAGCTCCCAAGCACTATTGAACTAACATTCCCGACTAGTCTTCAATACTAGTCGTCTAATCTTAATAAGCCAACGCCAATTTCATAATAATTCATACATTTCAATTTAATTTCACATTCAAGTATAACTTGATTCAATATCAAAATATCACTTTTTATTTCCTTTCATGAGGTAAAAGCATATTTATCACCATACAATTTTATGACTTACACCACAATTGGGTCATTATAATCACAACACATAATCATACACAATTTATTCTTAAATTTGTATATTATGCATTTTCTTTTATGAACAATACTATATTCCATTTTAGGCATTCTTAATCATAAATAACTCATGCCAAACACATATAATTCATTTAGGCAATCTTATGAAATTAACCCAATAATTATAAACAATATAGTCGGTCATCCTCACCTTAAGTGAGCTTAAGCGCGTTCTACACTTCCCGGTTGAACTTTGGCGAACTTTGACCAACTCCGGCCAACTTTGACCAACTCCGGCGAAACTCCGGCGAAGCTCAAAGATACTCTAAATCAAGCTCCTAACAAGGTTTTAACATCATAAAACCTTAATCAATACACATAACCTCTAAGAGGTTATTTTCCGGTGAACTTGTCGGTTTGGCTTCTAAATCCATTTTTGGACATAGAACCACCTTCCAACCCCTTGTTCCACATTTATCAACATGTAGAACAAATCCTAGGGTTCTTCATAATTTCTCAAATAATAATATATTCAAGAAAAATAGGAGAAAAGGTAAATGGAGTCATTACCTAGCTTTTCCTCAAGTTGTGTACACTTTGGAACTTAAACTTATCCCTAGAGCTTCCCTCTTGTTGGAGTTTTCTTCAACAATGGAGAATAGGGATGGAAAATTCTTCTTTGCTTCTTGCTTGAGTTCTGGCCGCAGGGATGAGGGAGGAGGGAGTGGTTATTTTCTTTTGTCTCAATAGAATGGGGGTGTGGGGAGAGGTCCACCCCATTTCTTTTGTTTGATTCCTTTCCCTTCACATCACACACATCTCCCATGTTCCCACATCATCTCAACCATCACATTTGGGTGACCAAATTCGTGGGTTGGCCCCCACACATGTGGGAGGTCAACCCTATTTGTCCAGAAGTGTACAATCGGTCCCGAAAGTTGTATTTTCCGGACTGTTTTAAATATATTTTATTTTATCGGGTCAAATAAAACATATTATGTGTTCTCAATCGTTACGACCCTCATAGTGAATATACATTCCCCAACTTTAATTTATAGGTCTCCAAAATCCAATTTCGGGCTATTATCCGTTAAATTACCGATACCGGTAATTGAACCGTTTTTGACCAATCGGTCTGCATTATGTCATTACTTTGGACCAATTAAATTATCCCCTTCTAAATAATTTTTATTCCGACCAAGTTGAATAAAATATTCGGTCTCGGGAGAATCGGGCGGCCCCGCCCCCAGTGTGGGTCCCACGTTCGAATTTACTATTCACGCAAAAGAACTAATAAAAATTCACAACTTCGTATACTCGTTAACCATTATACAAGGTTCAATATATTATTCACTTAAAAGTAAATACATTTGGGGACGGTGTTACAAGTTCACCCCCCCTTATTTGGGATTTCGTCCCCGAAATCTACGTGTCTAATCGAAAAGAAACGGGTATTGCTCCCTCATTGAGACCTCGGTCTCCCAGGTTTCTTCTTCGACTCGATCACTCCTCCAAAGAACCTTTACCATAGGAATCTCTTTGTTCCTCAGTTTCTTCACCTGTTGACCCACAATCTTTACCGGTTCCACCGCATATTGTAGATCTTCACGTATCTCCACCGGTGGCTTCTCAAGAACATGAGACGGATCTCTCACGTATTTCTTGAGCATCGATACATGAAACACGTCGTGTATCTTCTCAAGTTCTGGCGTCAACTTGAGACGGTATGCTACGGCCCCTATCCTTTCAAGGATTTCAAATGGACCAATGTATCGGGGGTTAAGCTTTCCCCTTGATATAAATCGGATGATACCCTTCCAAGGAGAAATCCTTAGGAAGACCTTATCACCGACCTCGAACTCCAATGGCCTGCGTCGTTTGTCGGCATAACTCTTCTGCCGATCTTGGGCAGCCCTGAGTCTATCCTGAATGACCTTCACCTTAGCCTTGGTGATTTCAACAAGTTCAATCCCTTCGAGCTTGGCCTCGCCAACCTCGTCCCAACACAACGGTGTTCTGCATTTCCTCCCATACAATGCCTCGTATGGAGGCATGCCAATACTTGCCTGATAACTGTTGTTATAGGCAAACTCGACTAGAGCCAAATGTTTGTCCCAACTCCCTTGGAACTCCAGAGCACATGCCCTAAGCATGTCCTCCAATATCTGTATCACCCTCTCAGATTGTCCATCCGTCTGTGGATGAAAAGCTGTGCTAAACTTCAGTTTAGTACCCAAAGATGCTTGAAACTTGGGCCAAAACCGAGATGTGAATCGTGGATCCCTATCCGAGACAATGGATATCGGGACTCCATGTAATCTCACAATCTCTTCCGTGTATAACTTTGCCAATCTTTCAAGAGGATAAGTAATGTTGATAGGCAAAAAGTGTGCACTCTTAGTGAGCCTATCAACCACTACCCATACTGCATCGTAGTTGTTCACTGTTCGTGGTAGCCCCACCACGAAGTCCATGGTAACATGCTCCCACTTCCATTCTGGAATGGTCAGTGGCTGCAAAAGCCCCGCCGGGTGTTGATGCTCTGCCTTAACTTGTTGGCAAGTAAGGCATCGACTCACGTACTCTGCGATGTCTCTCTTCATACCCGACCACCAGTAACTTTCCTTCAAGTCTCGGTACATTTTGGTACCCCCTGGATGCATAGCATATGCCGAAGAATGAGCCTCCTCTAGTATGGACTTTTGGAGCTCCTCACTCTTTGGTATGCATACACGGTCTTTAAACAATAAAAGACCGTCATCACGTACCCGAAAGTTCTCAACGGGCCCCTCAAGGATCCTCTCGCGGATCTTCTGGCATTCATCATCAGTGGCCTGACATCTACTGATCTCACTCAGCAATGTGGGCCTAACCTCGAATCTAGCAATGAGGACCCCACTCGTGGACATCTCCACTTGTGCCCTCAAAGTTCGTAGACATGTGAGTAATGTCCCCGACGTACTTTTCCTGCTCAGTGCATCGGCCACTACATTGGCTTTTCCGGGATGATAGTCGATGATCAAGTCATAATCCTTGATCAACTCCATCCATCTCCTTTGTCTCATATTCAACTCTTTCTGTGTGAATACGTACTTCAAGCTCTTATGGTCGGTAAAAATGTGACATGTCTCCCCATAGAGGTAATGCCTCCAAATCTTTAGTGCAAACACTACCGCCCCCAATTCTAGATCGTGGGTAGGGTAGTTCGCCTCGTGTTTCTTCAATTGCCTAGAAGCATAGGCAATCACCCGACCGTTTTGCATCAGTACACATCCAAGCCCTTGGATGCTAGCATCACTGTAGATATCATACCCTATCCCCTGTATAGGTAGGGCCAGTACTGGTGCTTCGGTAAGTCGTTTCTTCAGTTCAAGGAACCCTTTCTCACACTTGTCGTCCCATATGAACTTGGCCCCTTTCTCTGTGAGCTTCGTTAATGGAGACGCCAATACGGAAAATTTTTCCACAAATTTACGATAGTATCCCGCTAAGCCAAGGAAACTACGTATCTCTTTCACATTCTTGGGTCTCTCCCAATCCATAATAGCTTTAATCTTGGCGTTGTCCACGGCAACGCCCGAACCGGATATGACATGACCGAGGAAACCGATCTCTTTGAGCCAAAATTCGCACTTTGAGAACTTGGCAAAGAGTTGTTTTTCCCTTAACCGATCAAGTACAAGCTTCAAATGGTGTTCGTGCTCCTCCTCGCTCTTGGAGTATATCAAGATGTCGTCAATGAATACTATCACGAATTGATCTAAGTATTCACTAAACACACGGTTCATCAAGTCCATGAATGCCGCCGGTGCGTTGGTTAAACCAAACGACATCACAAGGAATTCGTAATGACCATATCTAGTGCGAAATGCACTCTTAGGTATGTCACTCTCCTTGATCTTCAACTGATGATACCCCGACCTCAAGTCAATCTTCGAGAACACCGTTGCCCCTCGAAGTTGGTCGAACAAGTCATCAATCCTCGGTAAGGGATACCTGTTCTTGATGGTGACCTTGTTCAACTGTCGGTAGTCAATACACATTCTTAGTGTACCATCTTTCTTCTTTACGAATAGTACGGGTGCTCCCCACGGTGAATGACTGGGTCTGATGAACCCATTGTCCAATAGTTCTTGTAGTTGGACCTTCAACTCTTGAAGTTCGGCCGGTGCCATTCGATAAGGAGGAATCGAAATGGGTTTGGTCCCCGGCTCCACTTCGATTACAAATTCAATCTCTCTATCGGGTGGAAGCCCCGGTAGGTCCTTGGGAAAGACGTCCGGGTACTTGCACACGACTCGAACATCCTTGATGTCGACTTCTTTCTTCGTATCATCTACCACGTAAGCAAGGTATGCGTGGCACCCTTTTTTCATCATCTTCCGTGCTCTCATCACGGATATGATACAAGCATTTGATTTCTCCCGATCGCCCTCGAAGCGTAGGGTCTCCCCATCATTGCCTTCGAGTTCAAGAACCTTCGTGTAGCAATCTACCCTAGCATGGTTCCTTTCTAGCCAATCCATCCCTAGGATTGCATCGAATTCAATCATGCCCAGCGGTACGAAATCACACGTCAAGGTTTGACCATTAACCTCCACCCCACAAGATGGATAATAACAAGTCCTTTCCACGTCATCCCCTAGTGGTGTTGATACCACTAAGGTTTGCATCAATGGTGCGGATTGCACTCCCAACCTCTTGGCGAACGCTTCATTCACAAACGAACGTTGCGCCCCGGTATCGATAAGGATTCGCGCATCCTTCCCATTAATCTTTAGTGTCCCTACATTCATGAACCATGTAAGACATTTTTCCTACCTTCCCTACCCATTTAGAGGAGGTTACAATGTTCACACGCATGTTAGGGATCAAGAAAAGGTCTTAACGTCGCAAAACAGTGCGAAAAAATCGCATTTCGGCAATCTGGGTGCCAGGCACGGCGTGCCTGGGGTAGGCATGATCGTGCCTGGCTCAGAAGAAAGCCCTGGGGGCTACTGCCTTGGAGGCACGATCGTGTCTGCCTTAGGCACGATCGTGCCTGGGTTGGAAAAATCCTGGGAACCACTGACTTGGAGGCACGATCGTGTCTGGCTTAGGCACGATCGTGCCTGGTTTGAAGGAACACCTGGGCAGCTACTGCCTTGTAGGCACGATCGTGTCTGCCTTAGGCACGATCGTGCCTGGGTTGGGAATTTTCCTGGGCAGCTACTGACTTGGAGGCACGATCGTGTCTGCCTTAGGCACGATCGTGCCTGGGTCCCAGCCGCCTGAAGTTGCCCGAAATCCCCCGGTTCGACCCCAAAACCTCGTGCAATGATCCCAACGATTAGTAACCTTAATTTATGGACTAATTAAGGATAAAACACTATTATACGAAAGGCAATACCTGCAACGGAGTCGGGATTGGCCCGAGCATCGGCCTCGGTCATTGCGTAGACTCTAGCTTGCGTCCTTCCTTGATTCACGGACGGCGCGTTGCTGGCGCTCGCTCCCCCCTGCCCCGTACTAGCATGGGGTGCTCCGGTCCGACTCCTACTTGCCGTAGTAGCGCCGCTAGATCCCGCCCCTCGGTTTCCACCAAGCTGAGGGCAATTTGGTTTGAGATGCCCCGTGTCTCCACATTGGTAGCACCGAGGAGGGTCACGACACTTACCGGCGTGGCTCCTGTTGCAATTTCGGCACCTGGGCGCTGTCGAGGCTTGTGAGCCCGAGTTGTGCCCGCCGAAAGCCGAGTTTCCCTTGGACGGCGGCGCCGGTGCCCTGAACGATCCTCCTCCCCCGTGGTTCCCCTTTTTGTTAGAACCTTGTGGGCCATGGCTTTCCCACTTTCTCTTCTTCGCCTCCTCGGCGTTCCTCCGCTTTCTTTCCTCCCACTCCTTCTCTCCCTTCAGGCCCTGTTCAACCACTTGACTAAACGTCATATTAGGCAATTGTGTTGCCCTCTCGCGTATGTCAAGGTCTAAGGCATCCCAGAAGTGGTTCACCATTCGGTTCTCATCGCATATGTACTCCGGTATGAATTCGGCAAGCTTTCTGAACTTGTGCTCAAGTTCCTTCACCGTACATGCGCCTCCCTGTGTCAAGTTCGTATACTCCCTCCTCTTCATGTTTACCTCGAAGTCGGAGTAGTATTGGTTGAAGAACTCCTGCCGAAAGTTCTCCCATGTGACGGCTTCGCCGTATTTTCCTTTGACCCCGTCCCACCACGTGGACGCCATGCCTTCGAGCAATCTTGTTGCCACCCTCAATTTCATGATGGGTGGCAGCTGCATGTCAAGGGCCGCCTCGTTGAATCTTTTGATCCATTCGGCTGCAACGGAGATGTCTCCCGTTCCATCAAACGGTTTACATCCCAAATCTCGTGCTTCTTTGATAAATTTGGAGATCCTTACGGTTGGACCTCCAGCATTTTGGCCTCCATGTGGTTCAACATGGACTCTAGAAGCACCTTGGCTTCCTCCTCTCGAAGCCATGCCCGAAGGTTGCCCCGTTCGGCGCCTTCGGCGTTGTCTCCTCTCTTCGCGCTCCCGGTGGTATTGTTGGAGCAGCGCCTCGATCCTCCCAAGAGTGCCATCGTCTTCACTCTCTTCACTCACATCGTCATCTTCCCCATCATATGGGGTTTCCACCGGCTCGGTTTCCGGCCTATAGGTTGAGTCCTCATAGGACCAATAAGTCTCACTCTCGGTGTCCACGTGGCCATCGCTCACGGTTTGTTGTTGGCCTCCACGGCCCCTTCCCCTGGACACCCTAGTGGACCCCCGGCTGCCGCGTTCGGACCCACCCGGTACACGGCCCGTCGGGTTCCTCCTAGTGATCCTTCCAATTGGCTCCATTTCTGAAAGAAGTTTAGAATGGGCCGTTAGACTCGTATCAAATGTCAAGTGACGGATAGGTACTTAAGGACATCTTTTGGCTCAAATCACCGCCATGCCAATTGTTAAGGGTACCATCTTAACAATTAGAGACTTTGCAACTCAAGTACCAAAAGTTCTATAAGTACAAAACTTTATGCTCATGGTTTGCAAAATCATTTTTCAAAAAGGATATTTTGAAGCTTCATTATGAAGTTTACGGACTAAGGCTCTGATACCAATTAAATTGTCACGCCCCGGACCTAACCGGACACGTCAACAATCCGCCGTACAGTACGAATAGTCAACCGCAGTCCAACACATCCATACTATACAAGGCGTCTGGAATATCATTCACACATAGTACATCCATAAACAACATAATGTAAAATAATCATTTAAAGCAGCGGAAATGTTCAATACAAATGTGCACGCCACACTTTGGCATCATGGGCATACAAGCCCTAAATACATATTAAGGAAAATTAATATCCATGAGCATGGTTTAAATCGTTTTCAAAACAGAAACAGAAGAAGCACGAACCACGTCTTCTTCTCTTAAATTCTCCGATGCAACGGGCGGTAGCGGCAAGCTTTAATCCCGACCTGAAACTGTGAGGTGGCCTCCCCCGTGAAGGGGAGGTCAGTACTTGGAAGCATTTGACAAGTACAATGACAACTATACTAAGTATAATCAAAGTTTCAATTTCCAAGACCCTCAACTTAGGATGTTACTATTTGAAATTAAATTTATGTTCCTTCATGCTAGAGCTCGGCTCATAGTCATATTAATTTGTGCTAGAGCTCGGCTCATAGTCACACCACATTTCGCTAGAGCTCGGCTCATAGTCATTCCTACATTTTTGTGCTAGAGCTCGGCTCATAGTCACACTACATTTTGCTAGAGCTCGGCTCATAGTCATTCCTACATTTTTGCTAGAGCTCGGCTCATAGTCATACTACCACGTGCTAGAGCTCGGCTCGTAGTCACGTCATCTAATCCCTAAACCACTTCTTAGTCTAGGCTCCATTCCTTTTGAGTAACCCTTGAGGTCTACTCCTAACATAACTTGACTTTGTAAAGTCCACCCTAATTATCCTTTAAGGTTACTTAGCTTCAATATCTTGGGATTAGCTCCCAAGCACTATTGAACTAACATTCCCGACTAGTCTTCAATACTAGTCGTCTAATCTTAATAAGCCAACGCCAATTTCATAATAATTCATACATTTCAATTTAATTTCACATTCAAGTATAACTTGATTCAATATCAAAATATCACTTTTTATTTCCTTTCATGAGGTAAAAGCATATTTATCACCATACAATTTTATGACTTACACCACAATTGGGTCATTATAATCACAACACATAATCATACACAATTTATTCTTAAATTTGTATATTATGCATTTTCTTTTATGAACAATACTATATTCCATTTTAGGCATTCTTAATCATAAATAACTCATGCCAAACACATATAATTCATTTAGGCAATCTTATGAAATTAACCCAATAATTATAAACAATATAGTCGGTCATCCTCACCTTAAGTGAGCTTAAGCGCGTTCTACACTTCCCGGTTGAACTTTGGCGAACTTTGACCAACTCCGGCCAACTTTGACCAACTCCGGCGAAACTCCGGCGAAGCTCAAAGATACTCTAAATCAAGCTCCTAACAAGGTTTTAACATCATAAAACCTTAATCAATACACATAACCTCTAAGAGGTTATTTTCCGGTGAACTTGTCGGTTTGGCTTCTAAATCCATTTTTGGACATAGAACCACCTTCCAACCCCTTGTTCCACATTTATCAACATGTAGAACAAATCCTAGGGTTCTTCATAATTTCTCAAATAATAATATATTCAAGAAAAATAGGAGAAAAGGTAAATGGAGTCATTACCTAGCTTTTCCTCAAGTTGTGTACACTTTGGAACTTAAACTTATCCCTAGAGCTTCCCTCTTGTTGGAGTTTTCTTCAACAATGGAGAATAGGGATGGAAAATTCTTCTTTGCTTCTTGCTTGAGTTCTGGCCGCAGGGATGAGGGAGGAGGGAGTGGTTATTTTCTTTTGTCTCAATAGAATGGGGGTGTGGGGAGAGGTCCACCCCATTTCTTTTGTTTGATTCCTTTCCCTTCACATCACACACATCTCCCATGTTCCCACATCATCTCAACCATCACATTTGGGTGACCAAATTCGTGGGTTGGCCCCCACACATGTGGGAGGTCAACCCTATTTGTCCAGAAGTGTACAATCGGTCCCGAAAGTTGTATTTTCCGGACTGTTTTAAATATATTTTATTTTATCGGGTCAAATAAAACATATTATGTGTTCTCAATCGTTACGACCCTCATAGTGAATATACATTCCCCAACTTTAATTTATAGGTCTCCAAAATCCAATTTCGGGCTATTATCCGTTAAATTACCGATACCGGTAATTGAACCGTTTTTGACCAATCGGTCTGCATTATGTCATTACTTTGGACCAATTAAATTATCCCCTTCTAAATAATTTTTATTCCGACCAAGTTGAATAAAATATTCGGTCTCGGGAGAATCGGGCGGCCCCGCCCCCAGTGTGGGTCCCACGTTCGAATTTACTATTCACGCAAAAGAACTAATAAAAATTCACAACTTCGTATACTCGTTAACCATTATACAAGGTTCAATATATTATTCACTTAAAAGTAAATACATTTGGGGACGGTGTTACAGGAGGCCCCTGCGGTTTCTGAGGATTCCACCTCCTGCGCTGTAATTGTGGTGATGAGCTGCATCTACATTCAAACAGAGGTCTGCCTGGGAGGTGATGTGCCACCTGAGTAGTTTTGACTGTGTTTTTGGTTTGATTTTCGGCATGAGTCCTTGCTGGTGTAATTCCTTGTCAAACTGTATATACTTTCTTGTTGTCAATAGAGTGTATCATTTCTTGAGCAATAAGAACTTGTTCATTAATATCTCTATGTTGCATGAACCCAGCCTGCTCAATGGATATAATCTTAGGCAAAATTTTACTTAGCCGAGAAGCCAGGACTTTAGTGCACACCTTACTCACAAAGTTGGATGGACAGATAGGCCTAAAATGTGCAAAGGTATTAGGATTGTCAGTTTTAGGGATCAAAACAACCCAGCTACTAGACATTCCTTTAGGAATTGAGACCCCCATGAAAAACTCCTGCACAGCTCTAACAACGTCAATCCCCACAATATCCCAGCACTTTTTGAAGAATTTTCCATTAAATCCATCTGGGCCAGGTGCTCCATTCTGATTTAAGCCCCAAAGGGCAGATTTAACTTCATCATCAGTAGGTAGTTGCATGAGCATATTATTATCCTCTGCAGTAACTAAAACAGGAATGTGTTGTAGTAAACTGTTGTCCTCCACCTGGCTGTCCACAGAATAAAGATTGGAGAAAAAAGAAACTGCAGCATTCCCCATCTCAGGTAGAGAGGTAACCACCTGCCCTTGCGCATTAAGAATGGAGGAAATGTTTTGTTTTCTGTTTCTAACTTTCACAAAGGAGTGGTAGAATTTAGAATTAGCATCTCCTTCTTTAAGCCAATGGATGTGAGCCTTTTGCTTCCAAAATTTTCTCTCCAACTTGTATTTACTTAAAAGAAGACCTCTCATATGTGACCAATGTTCTCTATTATGCTCAGATGGATCATCATCAAATTTTTGTTCAGCCTATTGCACTAATGATTCACAGAACTTGATTTCATCAAAAATATTGCCAAACACCTCTTTGTTCCAACTTTTAATATCATGTTTAAGACATTTAAGTTTATAGACCAGGCCTCTCATCCCCCCAAAAGTAGAACTAGACTGCCAGCTTTTTTTAACCACATCTAGAAAGCCAGAGTGAGAAAACCACATGTTTTGGAATTTAAAAGATTTAGGTCCATCAGGGGAAAAGGTTTCGCACCTGAGCAGAATAGGAGAGTGATCAGATGGTGTTTTCTCGAGGACAGAAATCTGAGTTTTACCATACGAATCCAGGAATTTATTATTCAGGAGACACCTATCCAAACGTCTAAGAACTCGACCATTAGATCTCTTTCCAGACCAAGTGAATTTAGGACCCTCATAAGGCAAATCAACTAAATCACACGCCCCAATGCAGTCAGAAACCTCCAATATACTAGTCAAATCAGGGATAGAATTACCTTTATGTTCATTGTGACTGGCTATAGCATTAAAGTCACCACCAAGAACCCAAGGTTCTGACATAGATTGAGAAATAGATAGCATATCCTTCCAAAGAGCCCTTCTAATAATATGAGAGTGGCCCCCATAAACTGCAGTAACCCATCCAACAAAATTACCGCATTTGATTTTCATATGAGTATACTGTGGATGCCAAGTCAACTTAGATATAGTAACATCAATTGGATTCCAAAAAATCCAAATTTTATTAGTATTAGAAACTGCAACCTTCTGAAAACCCAGGTCAAATTTAACCTGTTCTGCTTTTGAAATGTTAATAATAGGTTCCATAATGAAGAGAATATTGAGCTTCCATTTAGATACAAGGGAAAAAAGTCTGGTAGAAGCTGAGGCCAGACCCCTTGCATTCCAGAAAAGAACATTCATTTAGAAAGATTTGGGTTAACTTGAAACCCAGAACCCACAGGTTCTGTTAACCCTCTCTTCCTGGATGCATTCCTGGTTATTCTGGCAGGTATATCTACTTCCTCTTTCTTCTTATT